GTATTAGTTGTTCAGATAAACTAACCATACCATTAAGTTAAACACAATTTAACGTTCAAAATACTATCTTTATTAACACTAATCAATTAGGAAAAAATATGGGAAAAATTAATAATAATTTACGTTTCAATGAATTTTTTCTTTTTATTTTCTAGCTCTTACAAATCTCACTTTAAAGTTGCTAGTTACTCTACAATAACTCTTCTTGCCTAAGGGAATAACTATGTCACGTTAGTTTTGTTAGTAGGCAATTGAAGGCAGGGTTTGTCCCGAGGTACAATTCTCCCAAGATACAACGCTCTCTTCCATATTTTAAATTAAGAAAATTTCCTTGAAAATGGTAAAGGAAGAAAAAAAAAGGAAAATTGAAAAGAAATCCTATTTCAACCATTTCATAATAAAGATAATTATTCTTTAAAGAAGGGTCATTTTTAATAGAAAATATTCCTTTTAATTAATGAAAGCAGACGATGTATTGGCGGAAAAGAAGATAACACAGGAAGTTTTTCCTTTCTGCATTCCAGAAAAGATTCCACGGTGGAAAGAAAAAAAATCATTGACGTCAAAAAGTTCTATCTCATTAATAATATTCGCAAAAGATATAATATTTTGTCCAGTATTTAAGGCGTACACGAGAGATCCTTTGTGAGCCGTTCCTTTTTGTTAAATTGAAGTTCGGGTAATTACTTATGTTAAATGAAGTTTAATGTGACGTGAACTTCAGTGGTTTAAATAGAAACCATGATTAGAAAGGTAAAAAAAAGTGCTGGTCGTTTTCTACAAACGACCAGCTTTTTTTTTTTTTTTAAAAAAAGATGAAAATTAATTTTCCCAAAAGAGAGATGAATCCAAAAACTAAAAGAGAATTGACGTAAAAAATGTAGAGAATTACAAAGTTATTTGTCCCTAACGGATGTAGAGATGTTTGATCTTTAAATAATTGTATTAATTAAATGTCCGTGTATTTTTATTTCATATCAAAAAACTTTTTTCTCTAGAAATAAGTAGCTAGATAATTTTTTAGAAACTTTTTACTATTATTTTGTATGAATTAGGAATAACACAAAAAAAATTTATAGTCAAACCATAGAGAAATGTATTAAAGGTTTCAAATTTAATGCAACAGCATGTGAAAGAAAGAAAAAAGAGAAATTATTTTTTTTAAAAAAGTGTATTAGTGTTAACTCTTTTCGATTGAATGAGCACAACGTCCAGTGCTGCAATAAAGTAAGCTACTATTTGCCTGTGCCGTAGAACAGACATTGCAGATTGCATTTTGTTCAAGGGAAGCAAGAAAATTATCTTTATCACTGCAAATATAATAGTAGCATTGATAGAAAATAACTATAAGTAAACAAAAATATAAGAGGCATTAAATTGCAAAGTGTCCCGTTTTTATTAATGTGTCAAAAGGATTCGGCTATAAGTAAAACGAAAAATGAACTTTGAATGAAAGCGTAATGATGACGTCAGAGTGGAGTTCTTTACAATTTTACACTGTTTTTACAACAATAATAAAGTGTAGGTACATTTAAATTCCTCTTTGTTCTTTTAACCCAGTGTTTCTCAACGGGGGCGATAACGCCCCCCTGGGGGCGCTGGGAGTATGCTGAGGGGCGTTGGACTTGTTTTGGGCGGCAGGGGGGCGTTAGGTAAGTTTTGGGCGGTAGGGGGCGATGAGCAGGTTATGTTATTCAAATTTAATTTTAATACTCCCAAATAAAATTATTAAATTAAGAATCATTTAGTAAATAATATTAATCTAAAATTAATGATAAAGAAAAAAAAAGATTAAATTAATATAATAAATTTAGATTATCTGATACAACATTAGTACCAGCAGTAAAACGAACTTATGCAACACATATTCTCCGATCCGAATCAGCACAGTGCATGAGCCAGTAGTTTTTGCCTCTTACATTCAAGCCATTTGGGGAGAATTAAAGTGCACGCACTTTTTGTAAAAATATTCGATTTGACCCGTGTTTCTTATGATGGTTCAGTTTGCTTCTTAGCAGTTTTTTACCAGTTTCGATTTGATTTCATTGTTTATGTGGCCAGGTACGTTTGTGAATTAGTTCTNGGAAAATTATTATTTTCATAAATACCATAGAGAAATGTATTAAAGGTTTCAAATTTAATGCAACAGCATGTGAAAGAAAGATAAAAAAAGAGAAAGGAGTTTTTTAAAAAAGCGTATTAGTGTTAACTCTCTTCAACTGAATGAGCACAACGCCCTGCTGCTGCAATAAAGTAAACTACTTTTCCTTGTGTCATAGAACAGACATTGCAGATTATTTTTCATTCAAGGGATGCAAAGAAAATTACCTTTAGCACAGTAAATTTAATCATTGATAGTAAATTACTATAAGTAAACAAAAATATAACAGAGATATTAAATTGTAAAGTGTCCCGTTTTTATTAATGTGTCAAAAGAGTTCTGCTATAAGTAAAACGAAAAAAAAAAAAAACTTTGAACAAAAGCGTAATGATGACGTAAGAGTGGAATTCTTTACAATTTTGCACTGTTTTTACAGCAAAAATAAAGTGTAGGTACATTTTAAAATCCTCTTTGTTCTTTTAACCCTTGAAATACTAAGTTGAAAGTTTATTCTGTTGGCATTTATTATGTCAAGGCCAGGGAACGCATCAAAATAAATTATCGATGTAATAAAAGCAATAAATATTTTTATGAAAGAGGGACTTGATTTAATAAAAAAAAACAAGATATTTTATGTAATAAAACTTCATTTTTTTGAGTGAAGAGGAAGCGTTGAAAGTTTTTTGAATTGGGAAATATGTGATCCAAAAAGGTCGCTAACCTTTGATTTAATACATAGATCACACCTATTTAGTTAAAAACACTTTGTCCTCTAATCATACATCTACATAATTGGAATACATTGCAGCAAAGATGGCTGCCGTTGGTTTACTTTCTATTTCTGCTCCAATCAAATCATACGAGTTGTTAAATAACTATTTAAGTTTACTTTCGATGTTTACGCCAGCGCCCTCTATTGAGTTTTTTAAGCAACAAATGGAAATATGCGCGTACGATAATTTAGATTCTTATTTCTAAGTCAATTTAAACAAATTAATCAAACTGTACAAAATTTAATACTTTTATACTTTTTGTGTGAGTGTTCCTAGAAAATAATTTTAGCATATAATTTAAATGCAAAAAATATAAAATATTACGTTGGGGTCTAATTGACTTTACCTTTGCACTAAAAGGGATAACTATGTTAAAATTTGTTAGCCCGATAATTATAGATCATACAAAATAATTTTACTCAAAATAGCCTTCATAAATGTTTCACAAAATTCGTCATGGAAGCACTAAGGGTTAATTTTACATTTATAATACGTATGTTAATGCAGAAAACGACAAAAATAAATAAAGATAAGAACAATTAAAATATTTCCTAAGAGATACTAATAATTTCTGATGAAATATTTAGCCATTTAATATAGCGTAATAAATGCTTAACGTAATAAACGTTTAAAGAAAAGAAACGCCATTTTACATAAATATTATTCCAACAAACTGCTTTATGCAATTTAAAAATCTGAATTCTTGTTCATTCTTTTCTTATTCGATCGCTTGCAAGAAGAGAAAAAAAATCGTATGCAGATGAGAAAATGTGTGGAATTCATTTAAGCGTTATAAACTTATAAACAACAGATTAAAATTGTTTCCAGTTCGTTTAACTCAGAAGAAAAGTAGAAAACAATTGTTTCAATGTGTCATATTCTTTAAGATAGTGTTTTAACTCAAGACTGGTTTTTACAAAATGTTAAGTTTTTAATATTAGCCTTTGCTTTTTTACATTTCGATTATTTTAAAGAATTCCAAAATACGCAGTTTTTAAATGTTGCATATACCACGTTAAATACTTTGAGGAATAATTATTTTTACCACTATTATAGGAAAATTGTTACTTTCATAAATACTTTAAACGATTTAGTTAATAAGGAAAGCAAAATAAATGGAAATGAAGTATACGCAAATACCAATTTCAAAATACAAACTAACAGAACATTTATTAATGTTTAAAGTTTATGCCTGAGGATAGTCTGCTTTATTATAACTTTATAGTATTTAATATTTTCTATAATCATGAAAAATTTAAAATTTTGAATCTATATAAGCAGAACATATGTCTATTTTCAATCTATGTATCTGAACGATCTATTTCTATTTTCAATCTATGTATTTTTTTAGGATGGTTTATTATTGTTTCTCAATATTAGAAGCCATAACACTCTCAAGAGATTAGGAATATAAACAATAACAATTTAGTAACTAATAACAAGGAACATAATTGGAATACATTGCAGCAAAGATGGCTGCCGTTGGTTTACTTTGTATTTTTGCTCCAATCAAATCATACGAGTTGTTAAATAACTATTAAAGTTTACTTTCGATGTTCACGTCAGCGCCCTCTATTGAGTTTTTTAAGCAACAAATAGAAATATGCGCGTACGATAATTTAGATTCTTATTTCTGATTTCATACATTTATAAGATCGGTTTGAGGATCTTTTTTCTTTGCAATAAATAATTGAACACGAATAAAAATTCTAAAAGTTCTAAATCCTTGACAAGTTAATATAGGCTGTTTTAATAGTAAATCCTAAGACCATAAATAGTAAATTTTATTAAAAAAAATAATAATCCGAGTAAATGTACCTTGAAGTTGCTGAAAAAGCAACGATAGTTTAGATTTAATTTTATTGCAAAGCCTGCAAATTTTTTTTAAAGCACATCATGCAAATTTGTAAGTCTTCTTTGTCTTCTAACGAGCTGATCGTGGATATTAATGAAAGCTTAAAGGCTATGACTGATTAATATTAGTGATGCAAATATGTATATCAAACTACGCCATGACATTTGTAGTTTTTCTTATGCATGCAACAAGCAAAACGTGGGTAATATTTTTGAAAGCTGAAAGCCTATGACTACTTAATACTTTTCATAATAGTAAGTGCTGAACTCACCTGTTGACCTCCAGACGGACCCCATGGGCGACACTCCTGTTGGAGAGGTCATATTGGCAATGAACAGTGACTCCGAGATCCTGATTCGTGACTATCATGTCGTGGTGCTGGATGACTATGTCGTTAGAAAATTCCCCGATGCTCTTAACAAGAGAAAAAAAGAAAAAAAATAGAATTACTTTCAATCATCGATTGTTATTTTCTTGTTTCGAACATCATTACTAATGTGAATAGTTTACGAGAAAACAATTTATCGTGACATGGTATAGAATCACCTCTTCGATTTTTGGGTAGAAAAATGCTTTACTTTGATTCTAATCAAGGCCGGAAAAAGAATGGGAAGGTGATTTCTTCAGAGCAATAAACTCGTTATTGGATTTATTGAAAAGAATGAGGATTTTTTTTCTCTCTACCAGAAGTAAGCAGAAAGCCGTTACACCCCACGGTACACAGTTCTTTGTTTTGGATATAACAATGAGAAATCATAAAGTCACGACTGTTATAATCAGGATCAGTGCCCTTTTCAGTGGCAATGTCACCAGTTCCATAAAAAAAAGTGTCAGGCTCTAAAGGCTTTATTCAAACAAATAAACATAGCAGATTGTGGAATGCTTTCTATGACACGCCACTCTTTTGAGGTGACAGATTCCTGTTTAAAAAAAGTGTTATTTTTATTTATTCTTTGTAGTACAAATCTCAGAATAGATTTCTATTCATGTTTTACGAGGAAAAAAGGTCTCATTCAGGTTTTACAAGAAAAAATCCTATTCATGTTTAAGAAAAATGTCTATTCATATTTCACAAATAAAGCCATTTAATAAGGTAAAAATGCATATAAAAAGGCATTAGATTTGTTGAACTCTTTAATAAGGCAGATAATTGAATACTTCATATCTGTTCATTCGATCAAAGATGTTATGTATGTATTTTATGTAGAGGTTCTTCAAACACAAAATAGATCTCGACATTAGTTTTGATTATGAATATTTTTTTCACATTCTTATAAACTCTTCTTTTAATTAACATTTTCTGGTTTAAACAATTTATTCCTATATAGGCAACATTTATGTCATATAATTTTTAATGATTATCTTTCAGAGTTTTTATGTTTTAAGTGATTGAACACATTTTAGACAATTAACATATGCTTGTAACATTTTATCGCATGGTATTGATTAATTATTCATTTGGGTTTTAAATATGAATTTTGATTATTTTTTTTAATTCTCTTTTAGCAAAAACGTCAGAATAGATTTCTATTCATATAATATTAAAAAAAGTTCTATAAGTTTGATAAAAAAAAGTCCTATAAAGGCGAAAAATGTCTTTCTTTATTCCAAAAATAAAAAGATTTAACATGATGAAAATGTTTACAAAAAGGCATTTGATTTGTTGAACTTTTTAATAAAGCAGATAAATGAGTACTTCATATTACTTGAATATTCATTTAAATTGAATATATAAACAAACAAGGATCCTATGTATGCATTTTATTAAGCTTTTCAAAAAGTGAATGGATCTTTAAATTAGTTTTAGGTTTAAAATATTTTTCTTTTACAAAACCTAATTAAGTCTTTTTCATTCTAATTCCCATTCTCTTTTTTTATTTATTCTTATTTATATGCAGCATTTAAATCTTATCATATTTAAAAGTTAATTTTTCAATTTTATTTATGTTTTATCGTTAAAGACTTTGCCCTGGAATTTATCTTGAATAAATTTAAGATAACAAGCACTTTGAAATATTTAAAAGAATGATATTGATCAATTTTTAAATTGAAATAAAAATTTTGTTTATTTCATTATGTTTACTTATTTTTCGTTGAACAAGTCTCGAACTAAATTTCTTTTAACTTTTTTATAAAAAAGGGTTCCCTTTACATTTCTTGAAAAAATTATCATATTCATCTTTAAAAAAAAAAAACTTGTTTTTTTAATAAATTGAATGATTTAATGAAGCTGCAGTGCACACATAAAATTTCATATGAATTCTTTGATGAAGTATATATTTGGAAAATATAAGTATAAAGACGGAATGCAAGTATTGCATTTATGTTTTCAAATTCTAAAATAATTTTAAGCTTTTCAGTTTTGGTTAATAATGTTTATTTTTCAGTAAATTACTTAGACAATTATTTTTAATGGTATTCATAAATTTCAAAGACATAGTAAAGATTATCTAGGTGAAAATAAATAATACCAGTTAAATTTAATTATTTTTAACTTAAAAACAGTTTCATCAATAATAAAAGAATTTTTTTACTGAAAATAATAATTAACTTATTAGAATAAAAGTCACACATAGCAAAATTTTGCGTTATTTTTCAAAACTTTAATTTTTAAATATCTGCGCCTGCCTTGATTAATCAAGTATACACTTGGCAACATTCGTCAAAGTAAGTCAACAATAATGTAACAGGAAAACTCTGTCAAACAAACAACACTGGGGAATAAATTTTTGCTTCATTTGTACAAATAAGTGACCTTGCCTAATTTGGGTGTGGGGATATTGAATCTAAAATAAATTTTGCTCTTAAAGTTACAGATTATTTTTAAAATGACATTTTTATTCCAGTTTTGGAAGAAATATTTAAGTTTAAAAACGTTATATATAAAAGGGGGTCGCATAAATTTTACGACTAACTTCCATGACAATTACGGTACACGATTAAAATTAAAATTGCATATTTTCTAATGCCCGGAAATGTTGTCGAACGTGGCTAGATGCGTTTCCTTTTATGATCTCAAGCACACGAAGAAACAAATCATAATAGGGACAGCACCCCTATCTACGTATGACGGCTTTTCCGGGCATAGGTTCCTATGCAATTTTAACCTTAATGACGCGCCTTAACTCCCTAGTAGGGATATTTAGGCAATCCCCTGTTATATATAACATTTTTGAACTTGTACATTTCGACAAAAAAACTAAACTAAAAACTAAAAGCGGCTAAAAATTTCACTAAAAAAAACTGTAGCTCGAAGAAAGAAACGAATTGTTGATTTGAAATCAATGACGTGAAAATATCCAAGATCCGTTAAAAAATCTTACGAAAAAAAATTTTCCCCAGTGTATTCCATTCTTATTTAAACAATGAATTTATTCTAATGTATTTTATTTATTTAAATAAATTATTATGAATTTATTTATTTAAATAAATTATTATGAATTCATTTATTTAAATAAATTATTATGAATTCATTTATTTAAATAAATTATTATGAATTTATTTATTTAAATAAAATATTATTATGAATTTATTTATTTAAATAAATTATTATTATGAATTTATTTATTTAAATAAATTTTTATTATGAATTTATTTATTTAAATAACATACATGTAACACAAATTAACTTACCTCTTGCTTAACATCGCAATTCAGATCATGATAAGCCATTCTAATTTCAAACTCCATGCTATTTATGACGTCGGTGACACAAGAGTTAGGTCGCGATTTCACGTATACTTTTCCATTAAATACTTTGGTTGTTTTCACGAAAGCCACCATCTCTCGGGAGCGGCACTGAATTGTTACTGAAAAATAAAGAAGTAGGTGAGAAGTATTTTAAAAACAAATATGAAATATATACTGGTTATACGAAATTTAATCGACAATTTAAAAATTTGCATCAAAAAATTTTTATTCATTTTTATTTATTATTATTTTTATTTTTATTCATTATATTTTTTTAAGTGATACGGCTCCAATTTTTTTTTTCAGACTCAACCCAGGTTTCAGTCTTTATAGTTCGAAATTTTATTTTCACAAGTGGAACTACAAATTAAACATTTATAACCAAAGATAAAAAAATTAATACTTCATCGCAAGTTTTCAAAGTCTTTCAATTATAGAAAGGTACATGACGATATTTTCGAAATATCTATAATTACTTATAACCACACGTCGGAATCAAAGGATGAAATTTGCATGCATCAACGCAAAGGTGCAAAGTACCTGCAGTGCTCTCTGTTCGAAATTTTTTGAACTAAAACCAGGAATTCTGGGACAAAATATGTATGCTGGGTTGCATGAATTTGCTGAAGGTCTTTTTTTTTACCTTATCTGTTTCTTAGTTATAAATTTTTTAAAATCTTTATTTTGAGTTAGGACACTTTGCACATATAAATATGTAAACTCACTAATTGGCAAAAGAAGAAATTTCGATAATTTATTACGAATTTACAATAACAAAAAATTGTTGAAATGTTTTTTTGACAGAATATTTATCTTTATTTCTAGAACAGTTGGTCTAAATAAAGAATGTCAATGATATATTTTCTACACTTATAATTTCAAAATTAACTTAAAACAAAGAAATTCTTTGGATCAGGCAATGCGGCATTCATGCTTTTGTAGAGAACGTTTTGAAAACAACTGACCAGCCTTTGAAGGCAAGTCCAGATCAAGGCAAAGGGACTTTAATAGATGATTTATTTACCTTCGATTATATTTTGACTCATAGCGGTGGTTAGAAGTTGAGAGTTGTGTACCTGTCGTAAATTTATATTATTTTCCAGTTAAATAACTTTTTTTTATCAAATCTTGCCATGAGCCCAGAGTAAAGAAATGCAATTGCAATTATCCTAATAAAAAAGTCTAAAAAAATTCAGTCTGGGTAATTCTTCGTAGATTTGCAAAGAAATCTAAAAGTGTATAGAATGATCGTAATTAGCTTAAAATATTTCAGGTATATTAAAAAAAAACTGAAGACATTTCCAATTGATCTGGCGCATTGCAAAATACCAGTGGCATTTGCAAACAGTTAAATATCTCATTTAGCCTTCGACATAGCTATGGACAAGGCATTCCCAGAATTTCGAAAACTCTTTCAGGTTTATGAAATGTAGTAGGGCTATATACTCCAAACAAACTGTTCTGACTCATTCATTATGAATATTATTAGAATATTCTTTATTCTAAATGATTGGGTTGCACACTGGTTTCTTAGGTTTGCTAGTTGTAGAAGAGTTGCAAGTCAAACCAAAATTACGTTAACTGCTCGTTTGTTCATTTTCAATCCTTTATTGTGAAGCAAATTGCAAATATTCTAACACTTTGATAAGGTGCCAAATTAAAGCATTTTACAATGCAAATTAGTTTTCCTTTAAAACTAGATAACAAAATACAATAGTTGTAATTTTAAACCAACGTGACTTCAGATAACTCTCTTATTACTAAAACAGTAAGCAAGAAAAATATTATTTTTTTGCTTACCGGAACCATATTACTAAAAATAAAAATATGGTTCAGGATAAAACCTTATTTTGAATAGTGGAGGACGGTAGCTACTTGGGATTTTTTGAACATGTTTTTAAAGTTACTTTTGAATTCAACATGCAAATTAAATTTTAATTTGCTCTGCAATTATTTAAAATAATGTAAGCGGTTGAAATCATGAAATTTGTATTTCAATGGTGTCGATATATTTTTTGCATTTCAAAGATTTATTATGATCTAATTGAAAGTGTGGTGCAATGTGGTATATACGTAGCGTACATTTAAAATAAAATTACATGGAATATAATTTTCTAAAAAATAAAAAAAGGTATACAATCTCATATAATTAACAGAGACATAAAAACAGAGACTCAGTTCGAAATTCAGCTCTTAGAAAAGTAAGTGAAGCTAAACTAATTAAAGTTTTTTTGTTAACTTAAAATACTCTCAACTGAGTATAATTGAACATCAAACATTGCTAACTGAGAAAAATATTTTTTCTGTTTTAATTAGAATAGGTTTTAACAAAAAGTTTTTAAATTAAATCTAGTAATTATGAATAACACAGCATTTTCTAAGTTTTGCAAATTGTCTCGTATTTCAATACAAACAATATTTTTCATTTTTTATCGTACTTTTTTCCTAAAACTTAGATAAAAATGAAACTCTTAGTTTATAATTACTTTACTTAATCATACTTAAAATTATTCAAACATAGTTTTTTCCCCATTTTTCTCGGAAATCAACGATACAAATATAAAAGTTTAGGTAAAAAAATATTAACTGAGAGAATTGAGAGCATTTTTAAAAAGGAAAGATTGAAAAAAAAAGCAAGTTTCGCTTCGCAATTTAGGTGTTAAATGTAATTACATTTGACATAAAAGTAATTATGCAAGCTATAATTTTCTCTTTGTAATAAGTATGTTTAAGCGTTTAATATTTTAATTATAGGTCATCGAAAAAAATGAGTTTTTAAAAAAGAATTGTTTAATAATTGCAAATCAATTATGTATCATTTAAATACATCCCATTGTGTAGCATTTATATTGTGTACCATCGTGTAGTATTTTAAAATTCCTGAAAATTATGTTTAATTTTGAAAGCAAAAACTCAGCTTAATCAGCAATTTTTACTTCCATAAGCGCGCATGAATTTCTCACTAAAAAGTTATATAATTACAAAAAAAACTTTTGCTTCTTTTAAATTAATTGAAAGAATCATACTCCATACCAAAAAATCCATCTTCAAAGAATATTTTCTTAACTTTCATTAAAATTTATCAGTAATTTTGAAACCATAGATTTGAATCCAGAAAATAATGAATTCGAAAAAAATCAGAGCTTTACATTATAAAGTATCAGTGTCACATATAAGATTTTGTGACAACAATTTATAATTGATATTGGGGCGTAGTTATGAATGGAAAGTAAAGTAAATACGTAATAAATAAATATGTAGTAAATAAATATTTACATATTAAATATGCAAAGTAGTAATTTATGCATGGTGTCTTATATTTCAACTTCTACAGAAGAAAACATATGATGAACACACTTTGGACGCAAGTCACCGGTGCCCCTTTTATATTTTTTTTCTGACTCTTGAATTAAAAGAAAAATATATTTTGGTAATTTTTGATAATTAAAACAGTCTAATAGTTACTAAAATATCTGCTAGAATATCTGTTAAAAATTTAAAATAAAATCGATAGTCAAAATAAAATCAAAAAAAGGTAGTTCGAAATTTTTTGTTGTCATCCATATTCAAAAATTTACAAAAAATTGATTTTGAAGGTTAAAGAATATGGTGGATAACTGTTTCTCTTAGATCCAAACAACTGCAAGTTTGAAAAATTATTGTTTGGAAGGAAAAAGTGCTTTAAATATTTTACCTTTAACGCAGGAAAATATACCAATATCTCATACTGTATTTCATAACCATACATTTTTATAATGCTAAATAAAATATTTGTTACTAATTTTGACTTAAATTTAGACAAAATAATAAAAGAAAGTATGATAAATAGTTTAATAAAAATTCTGCGTCAAAGGGTTAAGCTTTACCATTGCAATTTGTAGCCCCGTACATAAATGCATATCAGTCCCTTTCCCCTTTGGGTATTTCATTTTATAACTTGTTGAACAACTAACCCAATTATGGTTAATTCTAATGCTCTGTCCTACAGCCTTGTAATTTTAAACCCAATACAGAAGACAAGGGAGCTCCTGGATCAAGTATTGGAAGAAATGTGCTTTCGCCGAGCCTCCCACAGCTAGCCCGACAGGAAGGGGAATGCTTGGATATTGTTGCATATTTGGTGAAATTAGTAGCTAAACGTTGGGTTTAGTGGAAAGCTATATTTGACGCACTCGATAGGAAGAGCCTTTTTGGGGCTCGCTTTACAAACCTACATTGTATTATAAAGGTTGTTTGCTTTGACAATTTAATCATCTGACAATTTAATCATTTAATCAATTTTATACTGGTGCCCATTTGCTTTGTGAAATCATGTATTGTTGTTTTGGGTAAACAAAAAGCAATTACAATTTATTTCATTGAAATAATTATTTACCGTTATAGCAAGATGCAATTTCGAAAGTGGATGCACCATGCACTTCCAGGTAAGGATCTTCGATGTTCGCTAAAGATGGACTAGCTAAGTGACTCAGACGACACACGCTGTTAGTCGGATCTCCCATGTCGAACGAATGACACCTGTAGTTGACGCTAAGACACTTTTTTCGACATTCTTCTAATGTTTTGACTTCTTGAAACACTGCATCCACTGTCTTTAATATCTTACCTCCAATTTTTCGAAATTCACAAAGTCGTACTGGAGCTTAAAATATCAAAAAAATATTAAATCAACATTTGTATTTCATATAAAATATTCTTTTACTTCATCATTACATGGTAATTTTAGCATTTTACACGGTGGTCTTTAAACAATTCATTTAACATGATTTTAAGTATCAGCAAATGTCATATACTGCATGACATGTAAAATATACTGTTACTGTAAAACAACAGTAAAACTTATAGTCTTAACACTGGTCTAAATGTATTTAAAATATTTAAATATTAATGCATAATACACAGTCTAATCCCATTAATGTGATTCCTAGTCAAATGTCAGATTAGCTACCTTTCGCAGTGAGGACTAATGTGACACAAGCAATACGAGAATCAATTAGGTTCTTGACGTTGCTCTCTAAGATATTGAGTGAAGTGCCTTGGCCAGCAGGGCTAGGTTACGCCATTGAGGATCCATGACGCAAACAACTTGATCAAAGTGGTCCCACAGACTCCTGATTGAGTTTAAATCCGAGGAGTTTGGTGGCTAGAGCAGTATAGTTAACTCATCCTGGTGCTCTTCGAGCTTCGCACGCATTTTGAGAGCTGTATGACACGTCACATCGTCCTACTGGTTGATGCTATCGTCTTAAGGGAAAACAATTCGCATGTAGTTGTGGACATGGTCAACAAGAACAGATACGTACTTGAGTTGGTCCATTGTGCCTTCCACATTGAGGAGTGCACCTAGAAAATATTACGAAAACATTCCTCTGATAATAAGGCACCGTAGACTCTTCCGACAATTCTTGCAGGGTGATTTCTTTTTGATGTTTCACGTCTTTTACGCCAACAACCATCTGTCCGATTGCGAGATTCAGTAGGAAAAGTTGCCTGTCGTCTTTCAGAGGAAGTTCAGTTGTTAGCGTAGGCATCTGCTGCGACGGCCCACCCTTATAAAAAAAATAGGTGTTTTTTAATGTTATTTTGTGATTGAAGCGAGCAAAAATATACACCTGATGTAGAAAATGAAGTAATGTTTTTCATCAAAAATTAACCTCATCAATAAACCTCAATTTCATCTTCATTTACCCCGCATGAAATCAGCCTGATATATAGCTCAGAGATACTTTTAGCTGAAATCAGATGATATTATTCACACCTCAATTATACTTATTTGGTTGAAGTGTAGAAAAAATAACCTGTACATCACCTCAGAAACAAACTCTCTGAGCTGATTTCTCGTTCTAAGTTAGATTTCTATCAACCTCAAAATAACCACAAGGTACATGAAACAATTTCATATACCTTGATTATAAACCTTGAGAGGTTGATTTTTTAAGGTTATTTTTGAAGTCAACTTCAAATAAACCTCAAATAAAGCTTAACACTTTAAAATAACCTTAAATAAACTACTAAAGGACCTTAAATTTTCGTAAAAGCCTATGCAGCAACTTTCACTGAACTGTCGTTGCGGAGATACTGTTGGTAGACTCTTGGTTCATCTGGATGGTTTGCTGTTCAATGGTAGTACGTCTATTCACCCGAAAGCATCGCTACAGCAGTCTTTCACTACTGTCATCAATGGCCCCTGGTGCAACACATGTGACGCGTTGCACATTTTGAATAGTACTATTTTACTTGAAGGGTCTATTTTCATCATGGCTTTATGCGAACTGTTCACATAATTAGTCATTTCGAAAATGCTTCCGCCCTTATCCTGAAAGCCAATGATCATGTTCTTTCACGACTTCGGATAATTTGCTTCATTTCCGCATTGCACCAATGATAACGATGTTTTTTTTTTTTTAATTCCTTTAGACACCCTTTATATACGCTCCACTACAATGTGCTTTCATTTATCTTCTTGTGATTGATTATTTCGCGTTGACGTGGTAAGTAGATAATGGTCACTTTAATGTGACAAGACTGTGTAATTAGACGTTATGGTAAATAATATTAAAAAAAAATATTTAAAATGATGCAAGTGATGATTGTTATCATATATGTACGTCGTATTATACTTTTAGGTTTATTGTTGTCATATCACAAACATTCTTAGTATATAGAGGCAGTGTTAGTGCAAATGAATTAAAAAAGTACTGCAATTATTTTAAATAAAATACATCAAAGTAACGTGTGAAGTAACTGCTAAAAGTGTGGGTAGTTTCAGCATTTATAAGTACTTACATATCACAAAAGAAAGCTAATAAAATTGGTGCATATTTGCTTCGTGTAAGTCAAAAAATAGACAAACAAAATTTTAAAAAAAATCTGACAGATTTTCTCAGAATGTTCTTGAAATACAAATTAACATTTAATATCATAAAATTTCAAAATTGAAATTTTTAGGTTAATTTAATATTAATTAAAAACACAAATAAATTAGAAAATTAGATAAAATTTTTTTTAAATGTGGTAGGTATATACAGATATATGAAAATTCTGCATATTTCCAAATAAAATATTTTCTGTGAAATAAATATTTAGAACATTGGTTCGCTTTAGATAGAAAAGAAACTTCGCTGATTTCTTTTTTATTCTGAACTAAATCTTTTTATTTAAACATTTCACTTTTTAAAATATATTTTAGGAAATTCTTGGATAAAATTCGATCAAAATAGTATTAGAACTTTTGTACAGTTTAAAAAAAAATTCTTCAGATGAGGAAAACAAAAGTTCAACCAGAAAATCTATTTGAAGAAGTTAGTAAATCGATTTCTTTGTTAAAAAGTTTTGTTTCATAAAATTTTTCCATTTATTCCTGGTTTTAATCTTTTATAACATATTTTCTTATTCCATTACAGAGTCTTATTATAACTATTTTAAAAGCTTCGTAATTAAGTATTCCTATATTTATAATTTATTTTTATTTAAAATTATTCATCAGAATTTTATTTATATTTTATATTACGATTTTTTTCTGATAGAAAGAAAAATATTTAATTTTATTTTTCAGCAGATTCAATACTGAGTTTGCGACTGACGATGCTCAACACCGTAAGCCTCTACCAGAACCTAACCCGGAAGAAAAGGGAACTTCTGGATCTAGCAATGAGGCACACTAGCCTTCGTGGTGGATTTTTGATAATCCGCATTTGCATTATATGTAAAGGAATACCACGAAAACTCCCACATTTACCTCGACGACAAGGGAATTCTAAACCATGATCCGTCTACCATTGAGGATATTTTATGTTAGCACTGTGATCGGTGGGAGCAGAATTCGTATCAATCAGCAAACACTGCTATTCAAATCTGGGTCGTCTCATACCATTGAGGAAATTTTACGTTAGCACTGTGATCGGTGGGAGCAGAATTAGTATCAATCAGCAATTACTGCTATTCGAACCTGGGTCATCTCATACCATTGAGGATATTTTATGTTAGCACTGTCATCGGTGGGAGCAGAATTCGTATCAATCAGCAATTACTGCTATTCGAACCGGGGTCGTCTCATACCATTGCGGATATTTTATGTTAGCACTGTGATCGGTGGGAGCAAAATTCGTATCAATCAGCAAACACTGCTATTCGAACCTAGGTCATCTCATACCATTGAGGATATTTTATGTTAGCACTGCGATCGGTGGGAGCAAAATTCGTATCAATCAGCAAACGCTGCTATTCGAACCTGGGTCATCTCATACCATTGAGGATATTTTATGTTAGCACTGTGATCGGTGGGAGCAAAATTCGTATCAATCAGCAAACACTGCTATTCGAACCTGTTTCATCTCGAACCATTAAGGATATTTTATGTTAGCACTGTGATCGGTGGGAGCAAAATTCGTATCAATCAACAAACACTGCTATTCGAACCTGTTTCATCTCATACCATTGAGGATATTTTATGTTAGCACTGTGATCTGTGGGAGCAAAATTCGTATCAATCAGCAAACGCTGCTATTCGAACCTGGGTCATCTCATACCATTGAGGATATTTTATGTTAGCACTGTCATCGGTGGGAGCAAAATTCGTATCAATCAGCAAGCGCTGCTATTCGAACCTGGGTCATCTCATACCATTGAGGATATTTTATGTTAGCACTGTGATCGGTGGGAGCAGAATTCGTATCAATCAGCAAACACTGCGATTCGAACCTGGGTCATCCCATTGGGGGTGGAATACTCTATTTCATGAGACTTCGGAACTCAACGAAAAATGCTGAAATAAGTATAAATAAATTGAAATTTTTTTTTTATCGTGATCTACAATCTGGTATATTGCCGCAGAAACCGTCTATGGTATTATGTATTACGTAACGTAATCGGCATCTTCATATTGACAATATTTCCCTTATTTTTTTTATGCCAAATGCGTTATGCTTTTATTTGTGCCAAGTGAATGTTGTCTTTATATTTTATTTTTAAAAAGATTTGCTGTAATAAACATCTTTCTAAATATGTATTTAAAAAATATCGTCTCTTGTTAAGAAGGATTTGATAATTAGTGTTAAAATCGATAACTCAGATGAGATAATGAAAAGTTAACTGCCGAAAATAAAGCTTATTAATTTTTACACACACTGTTAAAATGTCTTTTGATCTCAATTAAAAGCAAAATATGTACTATAGTATAAGATTTTTCTCAGCCTTGGATGTGAATCTTGACCTCGGTTAAAAAAAAGATCAAGATAGATTTTTTTTATCTTGGAAGAGCAAGGTAATGAGAAAAATGCTTGGATCTTTCAATAATAATGCAGTAAGGAGAACAAGAAATAATTCAGTAAATAGTGAAGAGAAAGTTAAAAGACATTTATACAGTCACAGATATAAGTATAAGGAAACTAAAGTGGTTGGGTCTAATTCAACAGACAAGTATTAACAGAACTGCTAAAAAGGTCTTTGATTCACTGGTGGCTCAAAACCACGCGGATGACCAAAGAAAAGATCGGAGGATGCGGAAAAAATTGGAGGAGAAAAACATCCAGAAATGAAAGTTCCCCAAACCAAGAAGAATAGAGGTAGGCTCCAGCCCTCAAAGAATGGTTCAATCAATGAGTGAATGTCAGTGATATTTTGACGAGTTTTATATCAAATGCTCTAAGCTTTTTCCACTTGTTATTATAAATCATTTAATGCAAAAATCATAAAAGAGTAAATGAGGAAATTTGCATAGACTTTTAAAAACACCAAGAATTTTTTTAAAAATAGTTTTAAACTGTGCATTTAAAAAAAATTTAATCGTCCTTTCTCAAAATAAATCTAAACAGAAGTATTATTTATTATGGTATTGCAAATAGCGATTTTAAAAATTATTTTCATTTACTGTATCGTTGTGCGGTATTTTAACTTACTACCCTACCATTTAATGTATAAAATGTAAAATATAAAGACATCATGAACATAAGACATGTGCACACATATAGGTGTGCAATCCATAGTACTTACGATCAACGCAGTTATTTTCAAGGTACTGGGTTCCGTCCTCAGCTGCCACGAAGAATTTACTAGAGTGGACGGAGTGACGATCGACGTCACTCAATTGACATTCCTGTTGATGAGCATGGTAATTGGCACTACGGCACTCAAACTCCTTCTCTTTCAAGCACAATCCCATGCACTGTTCTTTAGTGGACACATTCGATACACTTTTTCGTGACCTCTCCAGAAGCTCATGGTTCGAAACCCGTTCAAACACCCATTCTCGATTGCAAGGAACATCTGTAAAAGATTAATATAACACATTATTCTAAGAGGACAGCATTTAATAAACACACACTGAAATAATTTAAAATATGGTAGAAACCTTCTTTGAAGGCCTTATAAAAACACGTTAAAACACACTATAAAAGCACTTAAATTTTTTTCCAGAAGGAATTTAGAAATTTTCAAGAGTTCTTTCGTTTAGAACATACCTAATGTCCCAAAAATTATCGAAGATTTTCATAAACCAATAAAAGAAAAACGGTATGATAATAGGTATGGTTCACTGTGTTCTGCTGTTTTAATATCATCAAAATTCGAAATTCGTTTGAGAGATTCGAAAGTGTAAGCTGAACAACATATTAAAGTACAGTGAGCAAAAAATAAACGGATCACCGTAATTAACTTCTGATCTAATGACTGGACATTTACGTTCAAGGACTTAAACTTAGTGGTCGAGGGGGTAACCTCAAATACGCTAATTAATAAGAGCACAAGGTATTTTAAATTACAGAAGCAAACACAAAAAAACGTTTTTTCTCTGAATAAGCATACCTTTATTTTGACGAATTCGGATTTCTGACCCTTAAAATATAAGGGGTTAACAGCAATATAGGAAATATTATCCCTTTAGTTTGCTCAGAGGAGCGGTCCAAAGTTTGGACTCCTTAATGTTAATTTTACTTGTTGTGGTTTCACCATACATCGAGAACATTTTAACCGAAGTGAAAAATTTTTGAACAAAATTAAAAAATTCGTTTGTTCAAAGATAATTTCATGCAAAATATAGTTTTAAGTAAATAATAACTTCTTTCATATTTTATTTAATAAAAGTCAAAAAATTTTTCAATTGTAAGGTACACAAGTTTTTACATTGTTTTAAGGAATGTAATTTTAAATGATAAAATACAAATTTAGAGAGAAATCGGTTGAATAATTCCTGAGAAATCGACTTTTAAAATACGGCTTTTTAAAAATTCGACTTTTCAGCTATGTCATTAAATAAATTTTGCAATTATTCGACCAATTTAGGTCAAATTTTGTACTTTGGCATTTGAAATTGCATTCCTTCAAATAATATAAAAACTTGTATACTACGCAATTAAACATGTTTTCAGCTATTATTAAATAAGATGATAAAAATAATTATCTACTAAAAGTTATATTTTGTATTAAATTATCATCGGACAAACGGTGATCCGTTTTTACGGTGATTAAAACACTTTAAAATTATGGGCAAAAGTTTTTCATCTTTATGATGATTTATGGTGAAGTACGCAAAAAGTAAAATTAACATGAGGGGTTCATACTTTGAATTGCTCTCCTGACCAAACTATTGGAACCATACTTACCAGATTGCGGCTACCTTCTATATTTTAGAGATCAGAAATCCGAAACGGTCGAAAAAAATGTATTTATATTCAGAGAAAGTATGTTCTTGTGTCTGATTTCGTACCTTATAATATCGTCTGCAGTTATTAATTAGCATGCTTGAGGTCTCCCCCTCGAGCCATTAAGATTGAGTCCTAGAACGTGATTAGATCAAAAGTTATTCAGGGGGGTCCGTTTCCTACTTTGCCGTTCCTTACTTCTTAAAGTTAAGGACTATTTCCAGGTATTTCTTATGCTGATGTTATTTTTATAAGTTTTGAATTGAATTACTAGGTATACGTTTGCATATGTATCCTACACTTTTGTTTTTCCTAATCTATCATAGTAAAACATATGTATCATCAACTTAATTTTAAAATATATATTACATTAATGTAACAAATACTTAGTAATTACAAATATTTAGTTACAAATATTTAATAATTTTTATATAAGCGACTATGTGAACGTCGATACTTAGAGTTTTTTTTAAAGTTAACTAAAATAATACTTGAAGCATTTAAATAAATTTTAACCTTATAGTAAATTGAATCATGTATAAAAAATGATTAAAAGTTTTACATATTTTATATCAAAAAATAATTCGATTTTTAAGTAAAAGAAAAAAAAATAATTCGAAAATTTTTTCCACACGGAGTCTTTTTGAAGTACTTTGCTAAAAAGATCGATTAAGTGAATTTTGAAAGAATTTTTCATAACACTTTAAAACATATTTTTTGACGTTGAACAAACTTGACTATAAAAAGAAGACACTGTAAACAGTTTTAGAGCTACTTTAAGAGAATCTCGTCAAATAGGATGTAAAAGTTTATTTTCTTGCATGTCGTAAAAATTGATCTCACGCTTCCTTAAATTTCGCAAGCTTTTACGGCTACTATTATCTAACAAAATTCCAAACTTGTTGTTGGTAGTAAAAAAAAGTGATTCTTGTCTTGTATTGGACTGAACTGATTTTAGAAACTTATTTCTTCCCTTCTTTTTTTGGAAATTTACAAAGTTAATAATTAATTACGTTAAACTGTTAGGTCTGGATAAACAGAATAATTTACGAACTAAAGCAAATTATTATATAATGTTTGTTTCTCGTCCTTATAGAATAAGTGCTTCGTGTATAGTATTTCGTAATCCTACATGTAATAAATATTTTTAATACTTACGTATTACGTATTATGTACGTATTTTTTTAAAAAAAGTATTTTTATCTTCCATAATTTAATATTTTCATCTTTTATAAAATGATCTAAGCAATGTATTTTTTTCATATTTAATGTATATAGAGTCTTACAATATAAAAAAAACAAGAGTAAAAAAAAAGTGAAATCAAATAAATTTTGAACAGCAAAGAATAGAAACCGGTGGTATAACAAAAGAACCAATCAAGACAAAGGATTTTTCGTGTGTGGACAAAACTTTTCCATTATAGCTCTCCTAGAAACAGCCAATAGAAACTGTTAGAAGAAGTCCAATAGATCAATGAATTCCTTTATGTTTACCTTCATTATCTCGCTCAAAGACGAAAGTAAATATGCCAGATACGATATTTTCTGCTTAAATTGTTTTTTTCTCTTTTTCTCACATTTGAAAATAAAAGCGGAAAATTGTATTTCGAAAAGGAAATTTTTTGTATGTAGAATGAAACTTTTTTTGTTTTGTAAGAGATTTGCTATCATTTAAATCTTTTTTTTGTACATTGATTGTCACGATTGAATCTAATTTCTTATTGTGAATTTTAAATTTTTTGTCAAAAACGAATGAAAAATGCAGCTATTAGGAAAGATAAATTAATACTAAGGCGAGTAAAACTTCAAAAGCGTTGCCCATAAATATGACGAAACTTTATCGAAGTCTATTAAGTCTATAGTGAAAGTAAAATTCATAGCATTAATTATTGTGGAAAAATGAAAGGAATTATTTACAAATTAATAACGTAATGAAAGGAATTAATATCATAGATTTGATGCTATTGAAGTTTACTTCCAAAAAGAGTGGTTAGAATTTTAATAGTTTTTTTTGTTCTGTTATTATGATTCTGATGCTAACGAAACATTCACTTATCCTTCTACGGGGAGCTTTAAAAAAAGTGTATTAAAGGCGTCAATTACAGAACACTCTGAATATAAATATATAATATTACTTTTATGAACTTATATGAATTTCATGAAGTCTGCTGTCTATAAATTTGTTCACGCTAAATTAGAAAGTAACTAATATTAAGTTTTATATAAGTGGTATGCATTTGAATCTTATTTTTTAAAAATTATATCCAATTATTCTACTATATTCACAGTTTATCGACAGGGGAATTTTTTATTATATGAACGAGAAGATTGATTATATTTTTGTTTCACTTCTAAATTTATTCCTTTTTAAACAATCAAAAACATCTTCATTTAATTCTAATATAGAAATAAGTTTTCCTTATCTTGAAACTAATTTTTTTAACCAATGAAAGCGCCCATGTTTAATGTTCAACAAGCACCTAAGGTTAATCTTATTTAAATCATTTATAATCTATAACTAGCGCTGAACAGTAGACCCGATTCTGAGTTTATAACTCTCAATGATCTCCGTAGCCATGTAATTTTGAACCCAAACCAATAAACAAGGAAACTCTTGGATCAAACAATGGGGCAAATTAGATTTATGGAACTAACCCCCATTTGCGTTACATGGTGAGGAAAACTACCAAAACTCGCAAAATAATACATTACTACATTTGCGAAGAAGCTTTTTTTTCATTTTTAGTTGTATTTAACTGTAGCGAAATTTCATTGTTTAACAAACATTTTTACTTACGTATCTTGAAAAGTACAATATATAACATGATTTATGAATTTCATCAAGAATTTCTAATACTTTAATATCTATAAAAATATCATAAAAGAACTTCAAAGCTCACAGAATACTTTACTACAATTGTAACTAAGCTTTATTTATTTTTTAATCCAGACTATTACCAATGTGCATTCAAAAAATACATTTTGTTTCGTATGTAATAAAAATAAAATGCAAAATATACCAAGGTTTATAAATTTTATCAAGTTCTTTATCTTTAATATCTTTAAAAAATGCTACAAAATTTTCCAAACTCACAATATTTAACAAATATTTTGTCACTTATGTATCTTGCGAAGTTATGAATATAGAATACAGAATACATTAAGATTTGCGAATCTCATCAAGAATTTCTCACTCTTTAATCTCCATAAAAATATCACAACAAAAGTAGTCCAAAACTCACAAAATAATTCATTACTACATTTGCAAATAAGTTTTTTTCATTTTTAGTAGCATCCAACTGCAGCGAAATTTCATTGTTTAACAAATATTTTTACTTACGTATCTTAAAAAGTACAATATATAACATGATTTATGAATTTCATCAAGAATTTCTTATACTTTAATATCTATAAAAATATCACAAAAGTACTCTAAAGCTCACAAAATAAGATCCAAGCAAACTAACAACATAGTAATATTTTCCAAGCATAAAAATGACGCTGAGGAACTTTTTTTCCATCCGTCATAAATCATCGAAACGACAGAAATAAAAATACAGGACAGCACAGGTCGTCGTTAATTCTTTGAAGAGACCGTGGACGAGAAATAAAAAAGACAACTAGCAG